GTTTAAGAGCTCTAAACTGAACTGACTGATAAGACGAGAGCTCTAAACTGACACTGAACTGACTGCCAAGCAATCAGTCAGTCAGTCAGTCTCATCAGTTTGGATTGATTGTTAGCAACTCTGCTCTCATGTCTCTGCTTTGTTGACTCTTTCGTCTTACCTGAACCAAGCATACCCCATCCAGAACTTGCTTTAGATTCCTTCTTAGCGATACAACAAGATTCTTTCTCTTCCGTCGCTATCTGTGCTACCTTGACTTTTCCAGCTTCTATACACGCTTGTTCTTCTTCAGCAGCACACGCAGCTTCCTCTGCCACGATGCGTTCCTGTTCCAAGCGTCCTACTCCTTCGCACTGAAATTGCTCTCCTTCAAGCTTGACTTTGAGCTGCATCTTCTCTTCCGTGTTGCAAGAAGACAAGGCTGCAGGCGCGCTAGCCTTCATCCTATCACCTGGGGCCCTGGTCCAGATTACAAGGATCCCACGCAGCCGCCGAGTCATCAAAAGCCTCAAATTTCTCCACAGACGCCAGACATGCAATGGAAGTTGCCGCAATGCCCTTGGGAGGCAATCTTGGTAGATGAGGCAGATAGATGCCTAGAGGCTCACTATGTTCGGGAGTTGGCATTTTGTTAGTCGCCGCCTTTCCTTTTCGCAACTTTTCTACTTCCTCGCTGTACAGACCAACGATGGCTTGAGCCAAAAGCTGCGTCAGCGTAGGGCTTTCAATGTTTTCGAAGAAGTCTGGTGCCGAGAACATGGGCTGGTCTCGTTCAAAGGTCCATCGAACTTTTCTCGACACGAAGTCTCGGAGCCACGCATGCTCGTCGGAAGGCCCTGCAACAAACTCTTCTCGAATGGCGCGCACGGCGTCACGTAAACTCATCTCGTTGCCTCGTCGCTCCAGCTCGACTTTTGCTAGGTCCTGAAGGCCAGGCACGCTGCACTTCTTAGCAGCTTCTACAGCAAGCAAAGCTGTCTGACACTCATTTCGGACGAGACTTTTGTGTTTGTTGTCGGCATCTTCAACATCTTCGTCGTTGAGTGTCTGATAGACACCCGTGTGCAGAAAGTGGATCAAGACGTGACCAATGCTTGCGTCAACATCTACGAGGTGAATCTCGTGTGTCCATGGATCACGACTCGGGATATTCTTCAATCTTTGCAGCAGAACCTCTGGGAGATAGTATATCTGATGAGTAGGACCAAAATATAAGGTAACAGGTGGACTTGTATATAGGCTGAGGTAATCAGCTTTAAACAGTGTGCTTGTATGAACGGAGAAAGCCTGCCTCACCTTGTCCTCAGTTGAGGAAGCGCCTCTCCAGCTATCTTGGCGCTCTTGGCCTTTTTAGCCATTGCGATGGAAGCAGTTTGGTTGGTACAATTTGTATGATGTTGGGAAAATCTGAGGGTAAAAAATCCTTAAACTGGAGCTGTAGTCAGAGAAAAAGAGACATGGTCTTTAACACAGGGTCGTTTTGAAGAGGTCTCGTGCTGGATTTGTGCATGATAAGCTGTAAACGGCATCATACCCACGCACTGACGCGTTGTTCATGGACACTCTCTGCATATGCGCTAACACGACACCTTGCATACCAGGCCGCTCAGCCCCGCACCTAGATCCTCAGCTCAACCAGAGGTTATGTGCTCAGATCATAATCGCCACGATAAGGGCTCGTGCTGCAGGCTAAGCGCTGTCGGATACCTCGTTACTGATAACGCCGTGCGATAACTTCTATATAAGCTCAGTTGCAATGCTGTCAACAACAACAATATACATTCTCTCCTGGTCTTTCTGAGTATGATATCACACCCAATCATCCGACAGGTTGTAATGAGTAAGTCTTGGTGTGGGTGGGGCGCAGTTCGAACTTGTCGCACTCCGTGTCAATTTATGCGTGCGCTTCCAGGAAAACAACTCGCACATGCAGCCACAGCGCCTGATGTGTCACCTAACTATTGGCTCCACAATGGCATGAGGCTTGTACAGGATAGTCACCTTGTTCCGATCCTTGTCTTGTGAGCTAAACTCAGCAGTCGTCGGTATTTCTTATGTGGCCTCAGTCCCAAGCGACAGACCCACCACAAACCCGAATAAGACACACAATGAGCATTTGTGTATTGTGCAATCGTAATTTCAGCAGCGAGAGGGCCCTCAAACAGCATAAAGAGGACTCACCAAAGCATCCAAAAACCTTGGGCTGTAAGCCATGTAATCGCTCCTTTAGCAATTACTCCGCATTAGAGCAGCACTAAGATGATTCTTTAGTCCACCAGAGATGCCGAAGAAACTCAGTTACTGTATCTGTTACATCTGTTCCCTTTACCCAATATGTCCCCTTGCGGTTCTCAACGTCTCCAGATGTCCCCTCGACCATGCACGGTGGTCAGCGCAGGCGCCACACCACAACAGAGAACGGTTCACACGCAAACCCAATCTTCGACTTACCCTTCGAGCCACTTGAAGACGCAATGCAAGCTCCCACTGTATCAGACGTTGATGCTACTACCACACAACCAACGATCGGCCGAGCGCGCGTTTCCACACGACAAGAGGAGACAAGGACTTCCTTCACGTTTCCCGAATTGCACCAACGTATTGCTGACGCCGGCGCGCCCGCTATAACTTCGACGTGGTTCAACCACAACATAAAGGCTCATTTTGAAAAAGAGCGCGAGACAACTGTTATGGGAAAATTTACATGCGACAACAATGCATGCAGAAAGAAAAGGTGGAGCAGTATGGTCGTAGCGATCTGGATCAGAGGATATCCTCAGAATGGATACAACGCTATCGTGTATAATCAGCGTTGCGAGTCTTGCAACTGGCTGGGAAGCCTCCCACTCGATGAGGAATCATACGTAGAGCGGATTGCGTACTGGCTCAAGAGATGGGCGGGCATAAGAGTTGTGCAGCCACCAATCGGTACCGGGTTAGGTCGTGGACCGCATAAAAGCGAGCACTGCGAGGGCTGTAAGGTGAGACATTGTTCGCGGGCAGACGACTTTTAATAGTAATACGTACTTCAAAAATAATGATATGTGGAGATGAGACGAGATCTCACTGCATCAGTGTAGGTAGATGATAACAAATGCACGGCCAATTGGTTGTTCATCGGTGTCTCATCAGTCGCACAGGTCCTCAATATGTACATAGGAAGCGCTCAGCCTCGTCGGTCAATACCATCTGTACTACAGTATCCGTGCACTCAATGCCCGCCGTCGGTCAATGCCCGGGCAACAACACAACAGCTTCATGAGTATTGCAGCTGTAACGCCTCAACAAATCGTAATAATATTGCGCAAAAGTGGGTTGATACTATATAATAGCCTGCGAAGACTTTGCGCTAGTCCAAATCTTTTTTTGGGCGGCGGATTGTACGCGTTCTGGTGGTTTTGGGTGGAACTGGCTGTGCGACTACCCGGGCTTCCCCAGACGCTGTACCACCCCCAACACGCTTTTGACGCTTTGTAGCTGGCGTATGGGATTGTGAAGCATTGCGCTTACCCTTTTGGGAAAGTTTTATAAGCTTTTTGGTGTTGTTGATGAGCTGCTGGTGTTGTTTCTTGGCCTGTTTTGCAGCGTCCTCCACCAGCTTCTCCTCCCGACGTTTCTCACGCTCTACACGCTTCGCGGCTTTGAGTTGAGCTTCAAAATCGCGTGCTGCCTTGTTGATCTCGGCTTGCTTGGCTTTTTGAAGCTTTTCAAGCTCGGCTTGTTGTTGTTGTGCTGCCCGACGATCCCGAGCTTGTTGCATCCTTTTAGGTGACCATACAATAGCTCCCCCGTTATACTCGTTATCCTCATCAAGCTGGAGAGTGTACGACGTCTTGGAACGGCTCTCTTTGATGGATAGAGCCCTCCTGAGGCCTTGTACCTCGTCGTGAAGGATCTGATTTTGAGCTGAGATGTGGCACGAGCTTCGTTGAAGCTTCTTGACGTCCTTACTGCCCTGATCCTTCACCTCACGGCGTACGATTGACTTGAGCTTGAGCCAATCGCTCCGCGATAGTACTGAGTTGCTGTTCTCAGAATCTGAAGCTTCCTTGGCAAACTTCTGGAGTATAACGTCCGGGTTGGGTGGGTATACTCCGGTGGCTTTAAACGACCTCTGGATGAGTTGAGGTTTAAATACAGAGGTCCAGGAGCTCCAGAAGAGCGGGAAGAAGTCTCCTTTAGTTAAATTGAGCAACTCCTGGCTGTCCTGGAGAAATCCTTGCAGCTGAGTTGAGTAAGCGTCCGCCAGGGGTTTGAACGTACAAACGTCAAGCGGTTGAAGAGTATGAGTAGCATGAGGAGGCAGTACAGCCAACAGGATCTTGTGCTCGTGGCAATACTCAATAAACTCCATGGTTACATGGGATCCATGGCCGTCAAGGAGTAGTAATCGATACCTAGTTGAAGCGTATCGTCTGGTCTCTCATTCAAACACCTCCTTGAGCCAAGCTAACCCAATATCGTTGTTGCTCCAGCCGGAGGGAGATAAGGTTACAAAGACTGAGTGCTCCCCTTCCGATATAGCTTCAACCCAGCTTGATTGAACAGCTCCGTTGGCTCCCTGGAGGATGAGTGTAGGACTCAGAGGTTTGCCATCCGAACAAATACAAGCTATCACCGTTATCCACTCGCTTGAGCCATCTTCAAGTGCTTGCCTTGCCCCTTTTTGCTCGTAGAGTCTTCTGCTGAATATACGTTTTGTATCGCCAACCCGGCCAAGTTGAAACCCCTTTTTGTCCATATTGAATACATGTGTTGGTTGTACGTTGTACTCCTCCATTTTTCGTGTAATGGCTCGGAATACAAGCTGTACTTGGGTCCTGAATCAGCTTTGGTCCGCTCCTTGGCCATGGCTTTGCCCGAGCGAAAGATGAGATGGTTGGGATGACGGCGGAGAAACCGCTTAACCCAGGTATCGGAGACCGGTTTGCCAGCCAGTTGGCTGGCAAACTGCTGTATCATTACTTTTTTAGGCGGCAAACGTCGTTCAGTAAGCGTTTCGATATATCGTACAAGCTCGGCTTCGCGTTCTGGGTGTAGGGATCGTTGGGAGACTCCGCGCTGCTCGTGCACACCCTGGTGCCTTCGAGCGAGCGTACTGCGCTCAACACCGAACTGGGCAGCAACTTTTGTGTACGAGAAATCATCTCCTAGCTCGTGCAATTTGATATATACAATCGCTTCTTGAATCGGATCCATATTGGTGGAGTTGTGACGCGTTGAAGGTTTGTTGTTGTGGTGGGGTGGCGGGCATTGACCGACGGCGGGCATTGAGTGCACGGATATTGTACTGTAGAGGACGTCAGCCGCGGCAGGCCCTGAGAGCAATCATGTATACCTTTAGTGGTATTGTTATCCTGTAGCAAAACGTTTGCGCTCGAGATATCGGTCATCGCGATGATCCACATGTGGCTCTTATTTATAACGCGGGACGCAACGCCGCTGTCATAACGCGCCCTCGAACGGTCCACTTTCGTTATAACAATCCATTCGCGCATTCGTTCGAAAAAGCAATTTGAACACGCAGGCTGTTATATAGCGCACTTTTGCAGAAACTTGTTAGAATTTTCCTATCTATCGTCCCAACCCGCAAGCTTTTGAATTCCACTGCCGTCCCATAAATTCCTTCAACTCAGCAACCCATTATAACCACGCCTAATTCCGTCATCACACTCCCAGATCCTCAGCAACTACATATCCCGCCTCCTGCTTCGTTTCTCACAATCCACTCATCTATACCCACACAAGCGCCTGTCGCAACTAGCAATATCCCAGCATTCCCTCAATTTCAAGCATATATCGCCGCTAAGATAGCAATGCCTCCAAAAACATCTTCTACACCGTATAGAACTATAATATGCTCGAACAGCGCCTATTCTATTAGCAACCATACAGCGAGTGCGCCAGAGACAGCGCTGCAGCTCAAGAGCTAACAGCTACAGCAGGGTAGAATACATAGGTCAGGCTAATTATTAAAACATGCCACCAAAGGCGGCGGAGAAAGGAAAGACGTATGGGTAGACAGATACGGCGCGTAATGGCACTGTTGTCTTGGTTTTGCGGTCTCGATCTGTATAGAATAAGTGTCGGGGCAAACAGCTTTTCCGTGATATGCCTACTTGCTGCCTTCGCACTCACAGCTCGTTCGACGCGTGCGCACAATACTGCGGAATTCTCGCTTCCTAGGAACACCGGTATTCCGGAAAGCAAACCATGGATTGTGTATCGCCCTCAAGGCCTCTTGTAGCGCCCTTAAGTCACACCATCGGCTAAACTGCGGTCATGCGAAGGGCTCTTGTCCTTACATTCATGCTTATGGTCTACTCGATCGATCGATCGGTAATGTTGCACTCTTCAT